ATAGTTTAAAAATATTTCAGCAACAAAAAAGAACAGAAAAACAGAACGTTGAATCTAGGTGATACAAATCTGTGTAGTTATGGGTATATGTAGATGGGCAGATACTTTGGTTCACTTTTGTGATGATGGAAAAGTTTTTAAATAAGCAATTCCACTGGACAGTGCATTCACCAAGCATGTACCAAGAGGCACATATTATCCAAGGCTTCACACACATTACCTGCTGAATCTTCACCATGGTCTACAGAGTGGCACCACCATTATTCCCTCTTTTATAGAAAAAGAAACTAATGATCAGCAACTCCCTGGCAAAGGAGCCATCAGTTCTGCAGATCACTGGTTTTCTCAGTGAAGTCTCAGAGGCCAAGTACCTGAAAGACTTTGTTCCACTCTTTAAAATTTTTATTTTATTCATTCATTCTGAGACAAGGTCTTACTAAGTAGTTAAATTACTTAGGGATCTCAAACCTGCTATTCTCCTACCTCAGCCTTCTGAAGCCCTGGGATTATAGGTATGCACTATGTCTCTGTCATAACACATTTATACAAATCAGCCACAGCACGCATGGAGGGCAATCTCCAGATATCTCAGTGATCCTGTGCATGGGAGATCTTGGTGGTTACAGGAGAAAAAAGGAGCTGAGGGGAAGGGGGAGAGAAGAGGGGAAAGAGAACCACAGAAAAGCAACAGAAAAGCAGGAAGGAGCAAGGCTAAATAAATGGAAAAGTAGAAAGTCAGTCCTGGAAGAATCAGACAGAAGAACCTAGAAAGACAGACAGGAGGGTGGAGGACAGGAACAGAAAGAAGACTTTCAAAGTCAGACAAATGCACCTATCACAACCTGCCTTCCACTCTTCCCTCATTCTTAATCCCAGGTATAAAAGGAAGAATGGAAGGAGGGGCTGGGCAACCAAGTAGAAGGCTTGGTCTACAGCTCTCGCAGACATGAAGCCAGCTGTGTCTCCTCTCCTGTGACCATGACCACTTGAGTATAGACTCAGCCTCTCCTAGAAACTCTGTGGTCACACACTAGAGAGAAGCCAAGAAACAATTATGCATTTAAACCATTTAAAATCATTTAACTGCTTGTTAGAGATAAAATGCACAACCTATCAATGTTGCTGATGATAAATTTCTTGAGGATATATAGCTGAGCATGCTACACCATTTGATGGTCAGATCAAAAGTTCTGGGGACAGGGTCTGATCAGATTTCAACCCATACGACAAAAAAGACATTTGGGGTCTGGATGTGTGTTGAAGGTATGGCAGACAGGAAAAGGGTTACAGGAGGGACAGGGGAACAGAAACACGGAGAAAGAATCCTTGGTGCACTGCAAAAAGCTAGAACAAGTGCAGGGGAAGCAGGTTTGTCACCGTCTGCCAGCTATGTTCTCACAGGGAATCTTTGCTCAGTAATGGCAAAAGCCCATTCCTTTCCTAGCAGCACTAATCCAAAACAGCCCAGAAACAGAAACAATTCAAATATCCATCAACTGACATTAGGTAAACAAAATATAGTATGTTCACAGTAGGGTATTAGTCTACTGCAGAAAAGAATAGAGTTCCAACCCATGCTACCGCACAGACAGACCTTGAGAGCATCACGCTGAGAGGTGCTGAATGTGAAAGCTACTTTTTGTATGAGGCCATCTCTGCATGTGCCCAGGCAAAACTACAAGGACAGAAAGCAGATGAGTGAGGCAAGGGGCAGGGACAACCAGGGACAGGTAATGGATATAGAGCTTCTGCTGAGAGTCATGAAAATGTTCTAAAATTAGACTGTGCAGAGAGTTGCACAATTGTGTGAGTATATTGACATCTACAGAACTATGTACTTTCAGGGGATGGACTTTATTTGATGTGAAATACAGCTCAATAAAGCTATAAAAATAAATTGGAAATTTTCAACTAACAAATGCATAATTTTCCTTTCTCTGTCAAAGGTAAATTACTTTGTAGTCTTCAGTCCAATAGAAGAAAAGGAGAAATCAGAATTAGCTAAACGTCATGAAAATAATAAGCATCAGCACCAGCTAGAGAGAGGAAAGCCTTTTACTTTATTCCAACAGCATTCAGAGGACCCAGATGCAGTATTCAATGTGGCAAGGGGCCAATAGCTTTCCCAGAACACAAACAGGTCATTGCTCACCTGCTTCTCTGCCTCATTTTGACTCTAGGAGGCTGGAGCAGAAAGACTGCCAACTTCAAGTCCAGTCTGGGCAATTCACACGCGCACACACACACACGCACACACACACTCTCATGTACAATTAGTCCCACATATGCTCAAACCTGTACCATACAAATTCTGCTCATCAATTAAGGAAGTTTCTTTTTAGGGCAGTGAAACTATACTCTGCATACTTTTTTTTTTTTTTTTTTGGGCACCAGGGATTGAACTCATGACCTCACGCTTGTCAGGCAGGTGCTTGTGCCTCTGAGCTAAATCCCCACCGAGCAAGTTTCAAAGTAAAAAATTAAAAAGTATTAGAAGTACATCTCAGTGCAAAGGCCCTGCTTTGACCTCCAATATCATCAAAAATAAAAAGGAGAAGGAAGAGAAGTGGGAGAAGAAACAGCAACTACATCTATGGATGTAGCTTCATGAACTAATTCCTGAAAACTAGGCCTATTCTTGAAAAATAAAGTGAATTTACAAAAATCCAAAGACTTTCCACACTGGTTTCTAGTAGATATGAATTCTTTTTAAAAAATCCATCATAATCCCTTATTTAAAATTCTAAGTATCAGAGCAAGTCACGTCCCTTTCCTGGATCTATTTTTCCTCATTTCTAAATTAAAAACCAGCCTAGAAAGACCTTAAAGAATACTGTCTCAAAAAGATCTACGTATTATTCATGGAAATAGAAAGGCAGCTGTCCCTTACTATCCCAGAGGAAGTGGTTTCAAGACACTCTGTGGGTACCAACATTCACAAATGCTCAAAACCCTTATTTAAAATGGTGCAGTACTTGCATAGAACTTACATGCATCCTCCCGTACACTTTAAATCATCTCTGGATTACTTACTGTGCCTAATAAAATGTAAATGCCAGGAGAATAGATGTTAGATTGTAGTTTAGGGAATAATGACAAGAATATCTGTCTAGTGCATATTAAATTCTTTTAATATACACATGCACACATACTTTTAATCCATGGTTGATGGAATATAGAATCCATGGCTATGTATACACAACAGTGGAGTTTCAGAGAACTTTAATTTCTTAGGATACAACTGATTTACTCCAGACCCTCAGCTTCCCAACAAACTGCCTAAGTGATTGTGGGAGCTAAGCAAGGGGCAAAGAAAGGAACACCCAATTTCCCAATGCTGAAGTCATGCAAAAATCCTACAATTATGAGTTTATCTCATTGCTCCAGATAGATGGACAAATAAAATAGTTTAGGAAATTTCTGGACAGTAGGAACTATCTTTGGGGAATGAAAAAGGAAAAACAAAGCATGTAAACTATAGGTCTTACCTAACCTTGATAAGAGTCATTTGTAAACAGACAGGTTTTAGAAGTCAAATGAAAACATAACACCTCATTTCTTCATAGGCCTTAAAACTCTACACTAAAGCAATTCCTAGGCCACCCTAATTTCTCTAAGCACTACTTGCTACAAAACTACGAAGTCCCCTACATCAAGACACATCTGCAGGGTCCAAGACCCACACTGGCCTATGAGAGATGGTCCCCCACTTATTGGGGCTCAAAGGGGAGTCCCTGTGACCTGCATAGCCAAGACTGAAGGGATCCACACAAACGGAGTCAAGCAAGTAGTCTTGATTATAAGGAACAGCAGGCAAAACCACCTGCCATGAAAACTGATGGCATCAAAGGATCCATGCCCTGCACTTTGAAGAAGCCCACTTTCAGAGAAGCATGATGCTCACAGAAACCCATGCCAACCCTGTGACCGTAAGGGCAGAGCAGCAGGAGAGAAGCTGGGGCTCTTGAGTCCAAGGACATGGGTCCCAAAGTGAATGGCTGGTAATGGATCCAAACACAGCATCTTGTCTGGTTGGATCATCTGGTCTCCAGTATCACATCCTTTTGGTAGCTGCTGGGCAGGAACCTTACCATTAAGCATGGTTGTTGAAAATAAAAGCAGCCCTAGACAGCTGCTGACAGCCCTTCAAATGCTGATTTTTTTGGGTTTCAAATAAGGCCTTCCAGAGAAAATTACAAGGAACTACAAGAATACCCAGTTATTCTTCTAGTGAATAAACTTTGCTTAATGTAATCTCACTATCCAGGCATGGTGGCATGCACCCGTTATGTCAACACTCTGGGAGGCTGAAGAGTAAGACTGCAAGTTCAAGCACAGCAACTAAGCAACTTAGGAAGACCCTGTCTCAAAACTAAAAATTAAAAAGAGCTAGAAATATAGCTCAGTGCAAAAGTGCTGGGTTCAACTCCCAGTACAGCAAAAAAGCGAACAATCTCATTATAATGCCAAATCCTGGGGCATATTCCTGTCTCCTATCTTTGAACATGTGAGGAATGAAGAAAGATGACAGCCAAGAGCACACCCTGGAACATGCCCCCGCCATGACAATGGGTCTCTCCAATGTGAATCCAGGTACGTTTCCTCAGAACCCTGCTCTGGGAATTAGCCTCAGTGCTCTCCTTACTTGCTACAAGAAATAAACCTTTCTTCACTCTTACCTGAGTAAATAAGGTGTGCTTACTTAGCTTTGTATTCACCAAGGGATGAACCTAGTATGTTTGATTAGGGAAACCCGCTCCTGTATCCCACCCTTAAAATTCAGAGTCAATCTAGTCTGATTCCCAATAGCTTATTATTCATATGTCAGTAGGAATGTAAGTAATCATAAAGCACCACACTAATTACATGAAATGACCTTCTTTCCTACCTTTAACTAAAATGGATATCAAGAGGATTAGGGACTCTACTTACAAGCTACTATGGCATCACCTGATTTCACTATGCAATTACAGTATGCCAGATGACCAAGCAGGACTCACCGATTTTCTGATTGAAAATCTTGTCAAAGGTTATTTCATTTCTCTCTTCAAGATATTTCTGCATCACGCTCCGGATACTGAAAAACAGGAGTGGCACACTGTTACCAACATAGCCCGCAGCATGAGTAATCACCCCTAGGAGAATTAACTTCTTGAGAGAGACCCTCCAGTGGTCACCAGGGCTGCACAAAACAGTTGAGAGACCAACAGCTGGCAACTTCATGGCTCCAGCCACCACCCTCTACTGCGACGCAAGGCCAACCTTGTATTTAAAGACTCAACTACAGAAAAGAACTTAAGGACCTTGAAACTCTCCCTCAGTATCACCACTCTGTAAAATGCCCACAAATACATAAGTGTGTGTGTGTGTGTATACATATAAATACACACAGGCACACCAGCCCCATGTGTGCTCAAACATGTACCATACAAATTATGCTCAATTAAGAAACACCTCTTTAGATAAAGGCAAAAGTTCTCTAGCTATATAACTAATATTTGATAAAGTCATATTGCTTTATACCAACAATAAGCCACAAGAAATCTAATTAGAAAGATTTCACTTGAGATAAAAATTTTAAAACATCAATTTCCTGGAAATTAAAATCTTTCAGAATATGTGCAAGAAGTTTATGGGAAAATAACAAATCATATTGAGAGGTATTAAAGGAGATTAAATAAACACAAAGATATACCACAGTTATGAACAGAAAAACATATTATAAAAATTCAACATCTAATCGAAATCTAACTATAAAGTCAATGCAATTCCCATCAATTTTCCAGCAGCATTTTTCACAGAATGTAGAAACATAAACTTTTTCTGCAATTTATATCTGCATAGGCTCAAGAATAGCCAAAACATTCCTGAAGAGAAGAGAATAAAGATACTGGAACTTACTCTGAAGATAAAATAATTCAGATAGGTAAAACAAAGCAACCTGATATGGAAGGGACAGCAAATAAACTGAGCCAGCCATACACTGAACTTTGATATATATGAGGAGTGACAAGACAAAAAAAATGAAGAAAGGATGGACTTTTTAATAAGACAGCCCCAGAAGTGTTTACCCAACTGGAATAAGTAGAAAACTGAATCCCTGTTACCCAGCAGTGGTGGAACAATTTAGCATTGCTTTTTAAAAAACACATTAAGGCATAATTTATAGGTAACTAAATGTATGTTTTAGTATACTACTAAATGAGTTTTTGACAGTTGTATTTACCCTGGTAAGTATTATTTTATGTGAAAACCTCTGTCACCCAAAAACATGCCCTTTTGTAGTCAATCTCCCCATATTCCAGAATCTAGGTCACCACTGTCCTGCTTTCTATCACCACAGATTACATGCTCTAGTTCTAAACTTCTTATGTACATAAAAATATACAGTATGTTGTCTTTTTTTGAATATTTAAACAGCTTTATGCCTTTATTATTATTTTAATGGGAGTAAAACAGAACAGTAAAATGAAATAAAATGAAACAGTGATAGGACATTAAGGAATCCACAATCATTACTGTTTTGCATATTGTGATCCTCTAAATAGTTGCCCAGACTACTGGCCCCAGGCCTGCAAAGTCAATCAAACAACATAAATGTCAGGTTACTTCCCTACTTCAGTTATCATCATCTCAGCCTGTGTGGCATCTGGTTGCTTATGGGTTGTTAGGTGAGGGAGTGGGGCGGGAGGTGGAGGTGCCAGCACACAGGGAGACAGCACGGTTCCCTTGCTGCTGCTACCCGGCTGACCAGGCCTCCACTGTGCCTCAGGGAGTCTGCAGTTTCCTTGCTGCTTCTTCCTGGCCAACAGGGCCTCTGCTGGCACACAGGGAGGTCGCACAGCCTCCTTGCTGCTTCTCCTCAGCTGACAGGGTCTCTGCTGTCCCTCGGGGAGGCTGTACGGCTTCTGGGCTGTTTCTCCTTGGCCGGCAAGGTCTTCACTGGCACACAGGGAGGCTGCAAGGCTTCCTTGCTGTTTCCCCAGCCCACAGGGCCTCCAGGGACACACAAGAAGGCCGCATGGCTTCTCTGCTGCTTCTCCCTGGCTGACGGGACCTCCGCCAGCCCACACACACACAAAAAAAAGGCAAAATTTTTTGAATCCTGATTAAACTCAATGTATTAATATTTCTCTTTCATGAATTGTGGTTTTGGTGTCTAAGAAATCTTTGCCTAGTCAGACATCACAAGATTTTATTCTCAATTTTTTTCTAGAAGTGGTGTAGGTTTTGCATTTAATGTAGCTCCACAATGCAGTTTTATTTGTTTTGGGATGGTAGAAGGTAGTATCTAAGTTTCATTTTGTTTGTGTTTATGGATATCCAGTTGTTCCATCACCATTTGTTGAAATTCCCATCCTTTCTGCCACTGAATTGCCTTGGCATATCTTCAACATTCAACTGAGTATAAATATGAAGTTTCATGTCTGGACTCTTTATCAGTCCATTGATCTTTATGCCAAGTATTCCTTACCTGTGGCATAATGTTGGTGCACTGTGTGGATGACTACAGCTCTACAGGAAATTTTGCAATCAGGTAGAAAAGAACAGAAAGCCAGAGGATGAAATAGGAAAGAACTTGGGGGCTGGGGATTTAGCTCAGCGGCATAAGCGCCTACCTTGCAAGCAGGCAGTCGTGAGTTCGATTCCTGGTACCGATAAAAACGAAAAAAACAAAAAAAAAAAGAAATAGGAAAGAACTTATAAATAGGAAGAAATAGTCTCAATATCCTTATTTGTATGTTTGATGATGGTTCCAGAAGTATTTATTACATTATGGAAAATGAATTAATGATTCAGTGACTATAGAAGAGTCTTGCACACATTAATGATAAGAGTGCCACGAGTCAAATATGCATAAAGTTTATACCAAAATTTGGATCATGGTGATTACTAAGCAAATCATGAGTTCAATAAAAATAAGTATAAAGATGTAGGGTTTATTTTTCAAACCTACTACAAAGCATAGTTTTTAAAAAGTTGCTCTGTGCCAGAAACAGCCATGTCAATAATGATAACGAAACACTACCTTAACCAGTGGCTGTTCCTACTTAGTTATACCTAGTTTTAAATATCCTTCTATCTCAGATATTTTAACTAAGAGTTAAATTTTGTCTTGAAACTGCTAACGATAAGATTTTCAAATAGATGCTTGAAATTCAAGTAATATAAAAGTAAAAAGTAGGTTTTAAAATGTTCATCACTCAATTTTCATATTGTCACATTATTTTAACTGAGACAGGCTGAGTTCAACTAAGTCTAATCTATTTGCAAGGTTGGTGCTTATGCTGCTGAACTAAATCCCCAAGTCTAATCTATTTGTAGATGATCTTACTTTCTTATGAAGACTGACAATCTTCTTCCATGAATTAAAAGTTTCACTTACTGTGTAACATTTCACATATTATTATTATTATTTTTTTTTTTTTGTCTTTTTCCTTTTTATCAGTACCGGGGATTGAACTCACGACTGCCTGCTTTACAAGGCAGGCGCTTATGCCACTGAGCTAAATCCCCAGCCCCAATTTCACATATTATTATTATTGGTTTTTCACCTATCTTGACCTATCATTTTTCTCCTAAACATCCAGAAACATTTTAGAATCCTACTAAGCAAATTTAGCAATTTACTACCTATTCCATTCTGGAGTTTTTCTTATTTACCTCTTAGACACAATTCCTGTTATGTTATGATTTTTACTATTCCCCTCCTATACATTATAGTTAGATTTTTAAATATGTATTTTTACTTGAGTCTGCCCGGAATAGAATTTTATATTCAAAAAATCTAATTTCCTCTCTAATAATGAAAGGTCCATTCTCGGTTTATATCTTTATTTTTCTTATGATTCTTGACTATGATATTCTACCTAGAATTTTTCACTATTCAAATTTTATTTGCATTTTTAATATTTTGTGTTTTAATTGACATGGCTGGTATTCAATGCTACATACAAAAAGGAATTTGAGATACATTAGATTTAAATATAAACCACAGAACTACAAATCTTTTTTAAGGAAACATACCATAGAATCTTTGTGACTGGGTTAAAAAATGATAGTAAAAGTATGAACAATGAGAGAAAAACAGAAGTTGGATTTCACCAAAACTTAAAAAGTTCTGGCCCTAAAAAAGCACTTAAGAGAATGAAAAAATATGTCACAGACTGAGACAGTACTGGCAAAAAATATATCTGATTAGTATCTGACATATAGAAAGAACTTTATGTAGTCAAGAACAAAAACCTAAAAAAACTAATTAGAGCTGAGTGTTATGGTTTGTGTCTAAATGTCCCCCCAAAGCCTCATATAGTTACCACTTTGCAGAGGCGGCTGGATCTAAAGTGTGTGGTCCTGGGATCAAAGATATGTGATTACTAAATCAGTGCACTGATTGGTCTCACACAGTTTTGGCTGGGATTAAGAGTATGAGTACTACACATGCCCTAGGGTTGGTAGCCTGCATAAAATATAAGGGACAGAGAGAGAGTTTATGTGCTCTTGTCTCCCTGACATAGTTTGGTATACTATTATCCTCTGTGATGCCCCTCCGTCATGCCATCCCACCTTAGAGCCAGCTGACTGTGGACTGAAATCTCTAAAAACTGTGAGCCAAATAAACGTTTTCTTCTTTAACTTAAGATATCAAGTATTTTGTCTTAGCAACAAGAAAAGTAATTAAGACACTGAGCAAATGATTTGAACAGACACTTCATCAAAGAAGGTATGTGGATAACAAATAAACATGTGAAAAGAAACATAACAATATTAATCACTAGGAGACTTCCGGGAGAACATGGCGGATAGATAACAGCAGCTATGGAGGCTCTCTGAGTTAGCCAGCTTAGAATTCAGGAATGGTGAGATCCAGAGAACATGGCGGACAGATAGCAGCAGCTACGCAGACTCTCTGCGAGATCCAGTTTAGAATCCAGGAATGGTGCGGAGGGTGGAATCCAAACCAAGAGGAGATATACCCTGCTGACCCAAGAACGAACTGGGCTGAGAGATACCAACTGGGAATGCAATCCTGGTGCTCTAACAGGAACAGATAAAGCCTGAGCGTGGAAGCTGGAG